ATATAAATATATGTAAAAATATAAAGATATAAATATATCAACATTTAAATATATCAATGTATAAATATCAATATTTAAATATATATTAAAATATATAAATATATTTTTATTTATAGATTTTATATTTATATATTTATACGAATATACATTTATTTGTATATAAATATAATTTATTTATAAATTATTATTAAAAAATCCTAGTAGCTCAATTGTTGGAGTTTAGCCTCTAATTCTAAGGTACTTGGGTTCGAATCTTGACAATGACAATAAATATAGTTATTGATCTAATAATTTAAATTTGTCGCTATTTTTTTAAACTTTTTTATTGATTTAGCGATCGATTTAAATCGATCGCTATTTTTACTGTCGCTAAAATGATTTTTTCTTGTAGTGATCAAACCAAAATAAAAATAGGGTAAGTAATATAAATTTTTTATATAAAAAGAAGATTAGGTAAGTAAGTGAGCTCTTTGAATTGAAAATGAGATAACAAAAAAAAAGAAAAAGAAAAAAATGAATTGTGATTCTTCACTACAAGAAAAAGTGATCAAACCAAAATAAAAATAGGGTAAGTAATATAAATTTTTTATATAAAAAGAAGATTAGGTAAGTAAGTGAGCTCTTTGAATTGAAAATGAGATAACAAAAAAAAAAGAAAAAGAAAAAAATGAATTGTGATTCTTCACTACAAGAAAAAACACATTTAGCCACCGAAATTAGCGACCGAATTTTTTCGGTCGCAATTAGCGACCGCTTTAGCGACCGATTTAATTTTGGTCGCCATTAGCGACCGATTTAGCGACCACTTTAATTCGGTCGCAATTAGCGACCAATTCAGCGACCACTTTAATTCGGTTGCAATTAGCGACCGATTTAGCGACCAAAATATGATTTATTTTGCACTTTTTTATTTAGCGACCAAAATAGCGACCAATATTTTGCGTCGCAAAATTTCGATCGCTAAATCGGTGGTTATTTTCATACTAAAATAAAAAAATCATTTAGCGATCGATTTAGCGACCGAATTACAAATTGAAATAGTGACCGAATTAAAATCGATCGCTAATGAGAAAATAGCGACCGAATTGAAATCGGTCGCTAATGAATATTATTTTTTTATTATATTTAATTTTTTTTATAAATATACTTTAATTGTTTTAGTATATCTTTTACAATTTATTTTTTAAAAGTAATTTATTTTTTAAAAATATTTTAATTTTTAAAATATACTTTAAAAATAAACTTTGGTCTCAATATTAACAAAATGAATTGTAATAAATCAAATTTATTAAAAATTTAAATTGTAATAAATTAAGACTAGAGTGATGTTAAGTATTCAATACATTGTTTAAGAAAAGTTTAATAACAAATATTCTTGAATTTATTTTTCAATTGAAAATTTCAATTGAAATTAAATTATATTTTAAAAATTTATATTAAAAAATTGAAGAAAATAGAGATTTAATTATACTTTTAATAAATTTAACATAATAATAGTTTTGATTTTTATTTTTAAATATTTATTTTAATTTTTTAAAACAGAGAAACTATAATTTTAGTTTCTAAATACTAAATTTAAAGAATTAAATTTATTATTATTTAATCTTTTAATTTTAGTATTAAAAATTTAAATGATATTTTATTAAATTAAAATAATATTACAATATATTTTTCTACTTTGAGAATGAAAAATATAATTAAACTAAAACTGAAAATATTATAATACATTTTTGAACCTTTTTTGATTAATTTTTTTTCCTAATTTTTTATAAAGTCAATTTTAATATTTAAAAGTATTTAACATTTTGCATTCTGAAATGTTTTCCGTATTACCAAATTCCAGCTCTTAATAACCTCTACAACCAAATTCCAAATGTAGAGAAACCAAGTGCCCAAATTCCAGGCACCAAACAATACAAAAAGAATGTAAAGAAATGAAAAAGAAGAAACTAGAATGCTCAAACCAGTTTATGCAATTCTGTTGTAAGTGTTTCTTCTTCAAAAGAAATCAAGTTGCCTCAAGAAAGATTTTCAAAGAACTTCTCAAAAACTTATGCGAATCTTTCTTGAAAAGAGTGCTGAAGTTTGCTTGATTGATTGCTCAAGGATGTGTAAAAGATGATATTCAATGTATGTTAAAAAAGTTCAAGTCAAACTGTTTTTATAGAAGATTTTCAAAACTGCTGGTTTAATTAATCTGTTAAAAGATTCTTTTAATCTGTTAAAAGTGCAGTTTTAATCTGTTAAAACTTCTTTTAATCCATTAATACGTTCTTGATTCTTTAACAGATTTGTTTTAACTGATACGACAATGTTTATATCAATTAAAACACTTTACAAAAAATCTTATAAGTTGATTTAATCGATTGTTTCACGATTCAATCGATTGAAATACTGCAAAACTTTCTTGTAAAACTTTTCAAGTTATTTTAACTGATAAAAATAAGTTTTAATCGATTAAAACGTTGTGTAGAAATTTTTAAGTTGTTTTAATCGATTGAAACGAGATTTAATCGATTAAAATAGTTCTGATCGGTCATAACTAAATTCTGATCGGTCATAACTTATTCTGATTGGTCATAATTGCATTCTGATCGATCATCCTGAACCCTTAAGTGGTTTTAATCGATTAAAATCAAGTTGTATCGATTAAAATATTGTAAAAACATTTCACTTGACATTTTAAGTAATTTTAATCGGTTCTATCAAAGTCTGTATCAGTTAAAAACTTGTTTGAGAAAGCTTTTGTCAAAATACTTTGTTTTTAATTGTTAAAAATATTTTTAGAGGCATTTTGCAAAATCTTTTAAGTAAAGAAACCTTATGCAACGAAATCTTTTAATTTTAGTATTAAAAATTTAAATTATATTTTATTAAATTAAAATAATTACAATATATTTTTCTACTTTGAGAATGAACAATATAATTAAACTCAAAATTGACAATATTATAATACATTTTTGAACTCTTTTGGATTATTTTTTTTCCTAATTTTTGATAAAGTTAATTTTAATATTTAAAAGTATTTAACATTTTGAATTACGAAAGGTTTTCTCTAATAGCAAATTTAAAAACATAATATTCAAAAAAATAGTTAATGTAAGTTTTCATTATGATAAATTATAATTAGAAAGGATAGATCATAATTGAGAAGATATGATAGCGGTTCCACGTTAACCGCTATCTAAACTATAATTTAGATAGCGGTTAAGGGTTAACCGCTATTATAAGTGCGCTTTTAAGAGCGGTTCTGTGGAACCGCTATCTAAAATGTATTTCGCTTGAGCGACAATGGTCTCGCTCGAGCGAAACGCCCCCTGCACAAAATTGACATTCTCGGGTTGTATTTCGCTTGAGCGACTATAGTCTCGCTCGAGCGATATCTGATGAAAAAATGTATCAATAAATAAATAAAATATAGTTAGATAGCGAGTTAAAATTTAACCGCTATTAGAAGTTCTCTTTTAAGAGCGGTTCCGAGTGGAACCGCTATCATATACAACCAGATTTTTTGATTCTGATCGATTAGATTTTCAAAATGATCGATCATATTTGATAATTTTTTCAAATAATTAATTATAATCGATTAGTTTTCTAAATTATTGATGAGAATTGATTAGTTTTTCAAATAATAGATTAGAATTGATTAATTTCAAAATATATACTAAAAAATTATAATTAAAAATATAAATTATTTAAGAATATTGACTATTGTAAAGATAAAGTTGAACATGGGAGGAGATGAGGATGATAATATAATGATAGAAGTTACAAAAATGTAGAATTGAGAATTTTGAAACAAAAAAAATTAAGAAAATAGAGATTTAATTACACTTTTAATAAATTGAAGATAATACTAGTTTTGATTTCTATTTTTAACTATTTATCTTAATTATTTAAAACAGAGAAACTATAATTTTAGTTTCCAAATACTCAATTTAAAGAATTAAATTCATTATTATTTAATCTTTTAATTTGAGTATTAAAAATTTAAATTATATTTTATTAAATTAAAATAATTACAATATAATTTTCTACTTTGAGAATGAACAATATAATTAAACTCAAAATTGAGAATATTATAATACATTTTTGAACTCTTTTGGATTAAATTTTTTTCCTAATTTTTGATAAAGTTAATTTTAATATTTAAAAGTATTTAACATTTTGAATTCGAAAGGTTTTCTCTAATAGCAAATTTAAAAACATAATATTCAAAAAAATAGTTAATATAAGTTTTAATTATGATCGATCATAATTTGAAATGATCGATCATAATTGAGTGGATATAATAGCGGTTCCACGTTAACCGCTATCTTAAGTTCATATTAGATAGCGGTTAAGGTTTAACCGCTATTAGACGTGATATATAATAGCGGTTAAGTTTTAACCGCTATTAGAAGTGCTATTATAATAGCGGTTACGATTTAACCGCTATCATATACTACCACATTTTTCATTTTCATATCTCGCGCCACTTATCCCCAAATAACCCTAACTCTCGCGTCTAACTCACCCATTCCTCTTAACCTTGGCCAGTATCTCCTCCTCACTCCCGGCGAGCCCTAGCCCCCTCACTGCTCCCCCCAAGTCAGCCCTCACCCTAATCCAACCTCCACCAAAGATCCTCGTCAACCGGATGCCACCCTGTGAGCCACCGCGCCACACCTCTGTTCTTAACCTCCTCCGCAGCCTCTGACACCCTCAACCAAGGTTTGGCTTGTTTGAATGTATATACTGTTATTCTCTTGCATTGTGAATAATATAGGAGAGATAATTTTGACAGAATTTCTTTATGTTTTGTTTTAGGTGGATTTGTGAAGTAGATAGGTTCTTCAAGATCCCTCTTATTGCGGATTTGGTGGTGCTTGACAGACCAATTTGGGAACTTGTTTTGTTTTGTTTAAAATATGAACACCATTGTTATGTTTAAAATATGAAGGAATTTTAGCAGAGACCTTGTGCACATTGTTCTTTTGTTTCCCTCTTTTACCTAGCAGGGTGCAGGGCAGGCAGTGGCACTCAGAGTAACAGCAGATCGTTGTGCTTTCTATAATTGCAGGTTCCTTGGGTGGCAGGTGCTTCACTGTCTTCATATTTTTATTCTGAGTTTGATTTTAGAAATTTATGTGTGCATGATGTATCCTTTATAGTGTGTGTTGCGTAAACATAATAAGATCTTCAATTAACAAGAGGTCATGATTGTTAGGCTAGATGGTTTTGTACACCATTATCCTTCTGTTTCATTTGAGGAAAATCTGAGGTACCAAGGTGATAAATAAACTTATTTTGTGATTAGTACAGGACACACTATACTTACATTATGGAAAGCAATACTTGAAAGATTGTTACATTGAAGGGAGTGTGGACTTCATTTTTGGTAATAGTACTGCACTCTTGGAACATTGTCACATCCATTGCAAGTCCGCAGGGTTTATAACTGCACAGAGCAGAAACTCTCCACAGGAAAAAACTGGTTATGTATTCCTGAGGTGTGTGATCATGCCTAATATATTTTTTTTAGTCATTGTAACTTGTTTAACAAGGAAAGAGACATTTCCCAATCATCTTGTTTCCCCTACAATACAACAGTGTTAGTGACTCTTACTTTGTTTTCCAATTCCAAGGCAAAATATGTTCTCTCTTAGTTCTTCTGATGTAAAATCAAGTAAGTACCTAGGTTGAAGTTTATCATCATGACTAAGTCATATTTATGAAAACTGATTAAGATAATGAGAGAATGCTAGTTTTGAAGATGATCTTGCTTTTAAGTTTTGCAGTTTGGTTTGTAAATGTTTAGAAGCATGGCTAACACGGATTCAGGAGTATTTAATTAGTAAAAAACATTCTAGGTTAAAACAAGAACCAGATTCTCTTGAAGCTAGGGAAATGATCCCTTGAAAATTCAATGAATTCAGGAATCCTGTAAGAAATCTTAGAATAAAAATCTTTGAATCTCATACTACTCTATGCTTCCTTGTCAATATTTTGCTCCTCTCCCTTTACAGTGTTTCTTTGGTGTGTTAATCTGTTAAACTTCCGAGTCCAAGAAAGGATACTACACAAGTAAAGTACTTTTATTATGTTGTGAACATTTTGGTTCCTTACATGATGTTTTGTTTGTGGTGTCATTGCAGATGTGTTGTCACAGGTAATGGGGGAACTTCATATGCATATCTGGGAAGACCATGGAGACCTTTTGCAAGAGTGGTTTTTGCATTCACTTTCATGGATCAATGTATAAAGCCTGCAGGGTGGAATAATTGGGGCAAAGTTGAGAATGAAAGAACTTCTTGCTTCTATGAATACAGGCAATCATTTCTAACTCCATTTTGTAGTATTGTTATCATCACCAAGGCCTTCTTATACTCATTAAATCAATGGATCTGACAAAGAAAATTGTTGATAATTTCATAAAAACATCAAAGTGAAAGAGGGTCTAAAGTGTATAAAATTGTTGTTTATTGAGTTGAACAAGTTTGGAGTAATTTGATAAGAGTGCAGGTGTTCGGACCAGGTTTCTGTCCATCCCAAAGAGTGAAATGGGCCAGAGAATTGAAGAATGAAGGAGCTGAGCAGCTTCTCGAGTCACACCTTCATTGATCCAGAATCGACGGATCTTGGCTTCCTCAAAGAATGACCTTCAATTATTAATTAGGATTATTATTATAATAGAATAATTAATAGATCTTGGCTTCCTTCATAAAATTCCTACTACAAGTCAATATGACACTAACAATATACCGGAGGACTAATTTTCAATTTTATGATATTAAGACTTTGAATCTTGAGTAGTTGTTAAGTTCTTAAGTTTCATTTGTGTTATGTTTGGATGAATTAAGCACGTACAAATTTTGTAAAATTGAATATACAAAATTTGACTTTAGTTCTTAAGTTTTCATTTGTGTTATGTTTGGATGAATTAAGCGGTACAAATTTTATGATTTGAATAATTTGACTTTAGTTCTTAAGTTTTCATTTGTGTTATGTTTGGATGAATTAAGCAGGTACAAATTTTGTCAAATTGGATATACAAAATTTTAAACGAAAATTTTCAGATTTGGTTAGATTAGCGATCGAATTTTTGGTCGCTACAAATTTATTATAATATACAATTCAAATTTAGCGACCGATTTAGCGACCGATTTAAATTATTATTTAAATAATTCAATTAATATATTAGCGATCGATTATATCCGTCGCTATTATTTTTAACTTTGTCTCAATTTTAGCGACCGATTTAGCGACCGATTTTAATTATTATTTAAATAATTATATTAATATATTAGCGATCGAATATATCGGTCGCTATTCTTTAAAACTTTACCACGGATTTAGCAACCGATTTAGCGACCGATTTATTATATTATTTTCGGTAACTATTTTGGTCTTCAATGCATAAGTGACCAAATTATTTAGCGACCACTTTAGCAACCACCTCATCGGTCGCTATTTAGTGACCGAAATGTAAATCGGTCGCTAACAAATTAGCGACTTGCCCTTTTGCGACCAACCATTTCGGTCGCTAACAGAATAGCGATCAATTTTTGCCCATTAGCGACCGATTTTTGCCCATTAGCGACCGATTTTGTCGGTCGCTAATAGCGTTTTTTCTTGTAGTGCTTGATTATGTAGACGGAAACCTAAACATTGATGAGCAATGAGTAAAACTATACTTTTAAAGTGTGTTTATGTTGTGTTGTGTTCGCATGCCTTGTTCAGTGTTGTGAGTAACGAAGGTCCAGAATCGAATCTCCGAACTTTGTATCGAGTGATTGCAAAGTGTTGCAATTCTCTTCTTCTTCACAAAGCTTATCGGCGAAGGTTCACCCCTGGTTATCTTTACAGTTACCTTAATGCCAAACTTTCCAATTTTACATTCTTAATGCCATACTTTTCAATTTTACATTGTAACCAAATAGACAGAGCATCATCCCTTAATTTCATTCTTTTAAATGATTTTGATGTGATAAATACAAATATACATTTGGCAGTTCAGTTTTTGATTCGCAGTGTCCATGTATATTTATGTATGGTTAATATTATTTTTAAATCAATTTAATCTAGTAAAATAAATCTGAATGTTAGATCCAACCTATTTTATTGAACGAATATAAATTACAGTTCTACATATTCAATCCATGAGAATCCTGATAAAATCGATAAACTATCTTGGCAACTTGAAAATCGGAATTACATTTAAACATGATGGATGGGTTTTTTCAACTTCAGAAAGAACCGCCATGCAACAACTGTTAGTTGACGATTTCGTTTCGCTTTCGAACTCGAAACATTAGTTGTTTCCGTAGTTGACTTTTTGACCGTAGGTACAACGTTGATGAATTGTTTTTCTAGCTATGCCCTTCTTTTGTTAAACCTAAATTCATTTGTTTTTGTTGGTTTGTAATATTATTATATGTTACTTCATAATGATCCCATTTCAAAAATTACAACTTCTTTTGAATTAAAAAAAAAATTGTGAATGTTTTTACCGAATTGATGCAGGTCGACCTGACGATGTGATAAGATTCATGTTCTGATCTTCTATTTTGTCTTAGTTCAACGACGTTGAATAATTTTCTAAATAGAAACTTATATATAAAAGATATTTCGATGTTCAAGTTAGCTTTTAGATAAATATTGATTTGAAATATTTTAGGATATATATCACATTTCTGCAAGTGTTTGACAATGATTTCAAACGTACGCAAATTGCAATTTGTATATGATATGACAGAATTCTATATTTATGATAGCCATATGTGTTCTTATTTGTTGAAAGTAACCCTCAAATTGTAGCAATAATTTCTGGTTAAAGAGGAATGATGTTTTGATGAGTTAGGCTTGAAGTTTGAGTGTAGATAATTAATTCCCCAAAATATTTAAGTCCAATATGAAGAGTAAACTTAACTTTTGTGGAAAAATATTAAAGTGAAAGTTACCAACTAACGTATATTATAATTCTGGTTCAAGATATCTTAATTAATTGCTATAAATTTCACTTTCATTCTAATTTGTATAATTACCTTTATAAAAAGTAGTGGAAAGCCAAATTAAATAATTTTTTTAATTTTATATTTAATTTGAGTATTTTTTTTTCTAATTTTTGTTTTTTTTTTATCTTTTTTATACTTTTCTTTCATTGTTTTTATTCTTGGTTTAACCTTAAATTAATTTTAATATACATATTATAGTTCTATTAGATATATGTTTAATTTATAATATATAATTAAAATATAAATTTTATATTTTAAATTGGTTTATTGAATTAAATTAGGTAAATTAAATCTATTTAGGAATTTTCGTTGTCATTTTATTTATATAATTGAAAAAAAATTAACGAACTTAAAATATATAATTAAAGTATAAATTTTTTATTAACTTTATATAATTAAATTAAAATATTAATTTTGATTAATTTTATACAATTGAATTAGATATTTTTAATTTCTATACATTTTTAATAAACCTAATAATGATGGTGTCAATACTTAGTGACTTAATAGATGATTTTTGTTCTTTGACAGAATAACTATATGTATTTTTAATTTATTTTTTTTGCTGACTTTGTTTTTAATCCATGATTTGACATGAGACTAGTTGATTAATTAAAACATAGTTTATGAAAAGAATCTTCATGCAATTATTGGTTAAACTCTAAAAGATGTGACTAGTCACTCACTATATCTCACGTATGCTTTTTACAAGAAAACTTTGTAACGAAGTTGGAACGGATGAAAGGTTTATGCGGGAAATTTTTCCTCCCATATCATATGTTCTTCATTCTTCTTTTTTATTGTCTAAATTTCAAGCAACGAGACTCTACTCGTGCAGGATCTGGTGAAATGGGAGAGAGCTTGAATTAAGTGAGAAAGTTTCGGTAGAAATACCATATCAGGTAAGGGAAAGTTTAATTCATTCAATATATAAAATTGAATTGTTGGGTACTCTGTGAATAAGGAATATGAATATAGATATGAATTATTTGAATGCCTGATTTTGAAGAATTTCTGATTTTGGATGCAGTATTCATGGTTTGAAAGTTTTTGAAATTCTTAAAATTAAGGATGAATTATATGGTAAAATTGTTGTTTTCAACTTAAATCAGATATAATTCATGTTTAGTTTCGATTTGTGACTAGTTTGGTTGTCTAAAACTGAGCAATTTGAAATCTGCCAAAATCTGCAAAATTCGATATCGTTAATAGACGAAGGAAGAAGAAAGGGATATGGTGGAGATTTTTTAAAAAGATCAAGGGTAAAATAGTCAAATCCTAGGGACATAAATGTAATTTTCAAAAATGTTCAAGGGCAAAATAGTCATTTTACATCTTAGGGACATAAATGGAATTTTTGAAAATTTTCAAGGGTAAAATAGTCATTTTCGGGACATGGAAGGAATTTTTGAAAATGTCCAAGGGCAAAATAGTCATTTCGGGACATGGAAGGAATTTTAAAAAATGTCCAAGGGTAAAATAGTCATTTAGGGACGTACATGAAATTTTAAGAAAAGATTAAGGGCAAAATAGTAATTTAATGATTTCGAAAATAGTTTCGAAATAGTTTCGGAAATGATTTCGGAAAGATTTCGGAAATGATTTTAGAAAAAAAAAAAAAAAAAAATATATATATATATATATATATATATATATAAAGAGAGAGAGAATGAAAGTAGTGTGTTGTGACGTGTGTGGGTCAGACTGAGCCTGAGGGCTGATGTCCTGAATCAGTCATGAGATGTTATATATTGGCTAGACTGAGCTGGAGGGTTGGTGCGAGAATCAGTCAAATACTATTATTTATTGATCTGAATGAGCCGTGAGGACAGGTGGTCCAGAATCCGGCAAATGTGAATAATTTTTGTTATGTTTGAATGGTACCCGGGGTGGTACAAAGTACATTAGTGTAATAACTATGTCGGAGGATTCTGAATGAGATCTTAGACTTCACTGATTGGTCGGGTCAGGTAGACTACGAGATCAGGTGGTGAGAAGTCGATGGGCGATGACTGGTGGCGCGCTCGGAGGGGTACTCCAGTATGAGTGATGAAGGGCGCCAATAATCCTACTCTGTGTGGAGGGTGGTCAGAATGGTACTGCGGGTACCGATCACAATGTGCCCATAGATGATAGCCTCTGAGTTCGAGCATAGTTAGGGTATACTTTCGGAATGTGTCTTAGTGTGTTGATAATTTTGTAATTGATCATAATATATAATTATTACTTCTATATCTGTTTTATTATATCGAATGATTTAATACTTACCCCTATTTTTCCATGTGGATGGGACTGCGATGATCACTTTTATGTGGGAGCATATCAGGAGTTGAGAGATGGTGATGTGACTACTGGACAACAGGGATAATTCAGTGGGATAGCTTCGAGGGAACTACTTTTACATGTATAATATATAAATAAATTATGTTACTATATTTTGAAGTTCAGTTAGTAACCGAAATTTCAATCTATGTTACAATTACAGTAATATAATGTAAAATAGATGTTGTTATTTACTTGTTTACTACTTTGCGAAGACATCATCATAGTAGCGATTTCTAGGGTCGTTAAACTATAGTTTATTTTGTGCTGTAATAAAAAAATATA